GACGGCCCAAGAGGGCTCCAAGACGCCCAAGATGGCCTCCCAAACGGCCGTGGAGCACCCCAAGAGTGCCCCCAGTCGGCCCAGAGAGGCCCCCAAGACAGCTTCCGACGGCGTCAGACGAGCCAGGAACCCACCAAGACGGCCCAAAATGGCTCCAAGATGGCATAAGAGGGCCCAAGAGGCCCTCCAAGGCGGCCCAAGAGGCATCCAAAAAGGCCTCCAGGAAGGCCCGAGGAGACCAACATCTTAGATTTGCCTTAGGTTTTTGACAGATGTTGGCATTTGCTTCTTTTCGGCCTTCCGACGGCCCGATACGGCCCAAGAGCCCCCAAAGATAGCCCCAAGACCGCCCCAGAGGCCTCCAAGATGGCCCCAGAACTGCCCAAGAGGCTCCCAACGGACCAGGAGGGCCCCGAGACGGCCCAAGAGGCATCCAAGATGCCCAAGATGGCCTCCCAAACGGCCCTGGAGCACCCCAAGAGGGCCCCCAGTCAGCCCAGAGAGGCCCCCAATACAACTTCCGACGGCGCCAGGAACCCACCAAGACGGCCCAAGATGGCTCTAAGATGGCCTAAGACGGCCCAAGAGGCCTCCAAGAGGTCCCTATAAAGACGGCCCACGAGGCCTCCAAGAGGGCCTCCAGGAAAGCCCGAGGAGACCCAAATCATTGATGTTCCTCGGGTTGTTGACGGATGTTTGCAGGTGCTTCTGTTCGGCCTTCCAACAGCCCGAAACGGCCCGAGAGCCCCGAAAGATCGCCCCAGAGGCCTCCAAGATGGCCCCAGAACGGCCCAAGAGGCCCCCAAGACGACCCCAAGAGGGCCCCCAGACGGCCCAAGAGGCCTCCAAGACGCCCAAGATGGCCTCCAAGACGGCCCTGGAGCACCCCAGGAGGGTTAAACGGCCCAAAGAGGCTCCCAAGACGGCTTCCGACGGCGTCAGGCGGGCCAGGAATGCCCTGAGACGACCACAAAGGCCCCCGAGAAGCCCTCAAAGGCCCCCAAGAGACCCAAGGAGGCGCCAAGCTGCCTCCAAAAGGCCCCCAGGAAGCTCCCCGGAGACCCCAAGAGTGCCCCGAGATGCTCCCAAGATGCCCCTTCCTCCTCCTCCTCCTCCTCCTCCTCCTCCTCCTCCTCCTCCTCCTCCTCCTCCTCCTCCTCCTCCTCCTCCTCCTCCTCCTCCTCCTCCTCCTCCTCCTCGTCTTCTCCTCCTCCTCCTCCTCATCCTCATCCTCCTCCTCTTTCTCCTCCTCCTCCTCCTCCTTCTCCTCCACCTCCTCCTCTTCCTGATCTTCCCCGCCATCCTCCCCCAAGTGTTCCCCGAAGGGTTTCCACAACGGTGAGGGGAACACATGGTTCGGCGCTGCTCGAAACACATGGAATGAGCTTCCTCAAGTGTGAGATGAAAAACTCGAAAAAACACGTTTTTTAGTTATTGGTAGCTCTTTCCGCAACGCTCGGCCACATAGGCGCTTCCAAAAAGGCAGGGGGCGGCGGTGATTCGCCATAGGCGTCTTCGATAGGCTGACAGCTTCAAACAAAAATAAGACGCTGACTATGTGAGAGGCATGAAAAGGTCCGTGACGGTACCGCAGGCACCAAGTCGAGTGTTCCCAGACCCCTGAGAGTCCCCCGTATAACGAATAGCTACGTACCGTAAGGGCTCCATCCTCCAACATGCGGGTCCCTTGGTCGCGTCCATGCGTTCTCGCGCGCTCGAAGGGTTCGTCGCGCGACTCTCCCGGATGCGTCGGCATACCCTGAGATGGTGGTCGCCCTGGAGCCATTTGGCAAGTATGTTCGGCTGACTTGGGGGCTCCCAGGTCTGCCCTAAAACATTAAAATCGTTCAGAATGCCTGGGGTGGCTTTATGATCTGAACACTCTCAAACATGTCGGTCCGAAGAGCGCCCAAGGAGGCCCCAGCGGATGCCAAGATCGTACCCCGAGCCCCCAAGACCAGTCACGCGGGCTTCCAAGCAACTCCCCGTGAGGCATGATGTGCGTAAGGGGTGTGCCGAGATGGGCGCGGCGCTGCCTTGCGGGCGCGCCCACTGGTGCCGTGGGTGCAGCTCCCTGTGGGGCACGATCTGCGTGAGGGGTGGGCAATGACATCAACAGCAGCGGCTGCCCGCGGCAGGAGGAGCATCACCAGAGCTGCAGCATGCAGCAGACAGCGCAACAGCAGCAGCGGCAGGGAGGAGATGCGGAGGAAGGAGAAGACGCCTGGCGCTGCGAATGAGAAACGAAGGCCAAACAACGCGGGAGGATTGGGGGAAACGCACGGATGAGCAAACCGCTTCTCTGCCAGGAGGAGTCCCATCTGAGCCAGGGGGAACTGAAACGAGAACAAGAGGAGGAGAAGGACAACGAAGATACTGGAATAGGAGGAAGAAAAGGATCAAGCAGGGAGGAATGGCACAAGCGTCAGGACGCCTGTGCTACGAAAGCCGCGCTGACGTGCCCGCCCGTGCTCTCAAGCCGCATGCCCAAGAAGAATATGGAGCACGGCGACGCACGGAAATCCCCGTCTACTCTCCACCAGCTCCCCTCCAAGCCCCTCTCGCCCCCTTCCCTTTCTCATCGCCTCCCCTCCTTCCCCTACCGCTCCCATTACTCAGTGCTTCTCGTTGTGCACCCTCCACTCTCTGACTCTCCGCTTCGCCTGCACCGCCGAAACCAGGAGCCGCCCGCACGACACACGAGGGCAAACGCGCGAGGCGTCGGCGAGCATGTCGGACCGCCTCGACGACAAAAGGGCATCGCGTGTATGCTGAGCCTCCCACTCACTGCTGGTGATGTTCGGCGGGCTGATGGCTCTTGACGTCCCAAAATAACGACTGGGGACGGATATGCACCAAGAGGGTCACATCTCTGACCTCTGCGAAGCAGCCGGAGTGCAAATGTGATCTTGCTCTCGGCGGCGAGCCCAGGGGGGGAAGTGAGAAGGGGCGGGCCTTCACAGAAGGCTCGGAAGTCCCCTGGTCTTCTGAGAGGTTTCCTGAGCCTCCCTGGGAGACGCAGAAAACCTCCTAGAAGGCGCGAATGCCTCTGAAAAGTCCCGCCGCCATCTGAGAAGGCCTTCTCCTTCTCACTTCTCCCCAGCACTTGCCGCCGACAAGAGAATAACGTATCTGGTCTCTGCGAAGAAGCCCGAGTACAAATGAAATCTTGATCGGTGGGAGAACCTCCAGACGCCGTACATCTCGTTTGCCTCCCCCCTCCCTGGCTCGCACAGAGCAAGGCGCGGCGGACACCATCGAGACTGATTGGCGAGAAGACGCGAGAGGACACAAGTAGGGAAACGAATTCTATGCACCGACTCTGTTGCCGGCCTTGAACTGACACTTGCACAAGAAAACGGATCCTGGTGTATACGGGGCCCTGGTGTATACATTTGTGTCGCTGTTTCCCCAGGGTGCGGAAACAAAAGGTATACACCACACCACCCCGACGTCGTCTCCGACCCTTAAGAAGTCCTGGGATTGAAAAACATCATCCAGCCACTGGTGATGTATATGTTCCAGCTTCAGAACAAGACCCTCCTGACGGCCACAACGCCACAGAAACATGGAAAGCACATGGATCGCAGAGCACAGGGCACCAGGGCGCCCTTGACTGGGCAAGGTCGACCTACGAGCTGGCCTCGGCTGTCAGGCGATGGGCTTCCTCGAAATCACTCCACGCAGCCGCGCACACTTCTTGCACTCGCCTCGCGCGCGTGCGCCATGCACCGACGTGCCCGCGGATCGCCAACAGTTCAATTTGCCCTCTGGGTTCATCTGGTCTCGAATACGAGCTCCTCCATACTTACCTTCCCTTCCCCTTCGGGAGTGGGGTTCCCCGTCGCCTGCCCTCTGGACTGGAGGTGGCAGTCTATCGTGGCGGCCGCCGCTGGCCAACTGCGTAGAGCAGAACGGGCCAGGAGGGCCAACGGATGAAAGTCCGCGCGGTCGTCGGGGGCCTACTGTGCCCCTTTGGAAGCGGTTGTTCCTGGCGATTCGTGCTTTACGTGAGAACTTATCAAGCGTCTATGTGCTAAGGAAAACCATTGTGGCACTCAAAGCGTTCAGGCAGACCATACCAGGCGCTGTCATGGACGCAGCGCTGCAGACCTCCACTACCAGAGGGGAGAGACGAGGGGCATAGTGAACTAAGAAAAACTATAGCCCAAACGGTCATTCAACCAAAAAATACAGCACAGCGGCAGTCAGGGAGAGATAAGAGGAATTGAGGAGTCGACGGAGAGAGAACACCAAAACGCTGGCAAACACTTCGCCAACGATTGAGACGTGTACCTCCGAACTTCCGAGGTGATGCCCAGCGGCGCTTGCATGCTTTCAATATATATATATATATAGATATATATATATACTGGAAACATGGAACTGCTCACACGCTTGAAGCGGAAAGCACATCGACTAGCGAGGGTGCGCTCATTGCAACAATCAACGCGCATGTGCCTGCGCAAGTAAGTTACATAAATATACCGCGGCGCTGCAGACCCGCCGGGAACCCCTTTGTCTTCCGAGGCAGCACTCTGGAGCTGTTTGCCACGGCGACGCAGGCGATGGATCTCGCACACTTGAGCCCTCTGAACCGATTCCGAGGAGTGGCCGCAAAAAGGCTGGGCGATGACGTTGAAGCGTGACTCGGTCGCGCGCGCAATTTCCGGCCCCCAGATCCCGTTCCCCCTGAAGGGCTTCCTCGCCCCGTCGCCCATGGACGACATAAGCCCATCGGCGAACTGGCCGCTGCCCACGACGGGCCGGACGGAAATCGAAGTCCTTCACAACGGGGACAGGAATCCAAGGGATCCCGTTGCGCAGCGCGCTCACCACCTCGACAAACACAAACGGTCGCGCGAGCGTCTCCGCCGAGAGAAGCACCAGGAATTTCTTTGAGCGGCCGATGTGAGACACCGGCGTGCCCATGTCAAACAGCGAGTCTGCGCCCAAGAACAAAGATACAAGTTGCCCCGCGCCCCCCTGTGACTCCAGCATTATCGCGACGACGCCCGCGACGACCTGATGGTCCTGTGTGCGGTGGTATGAAATGAAAGCGGCGTAGTCCTGATCCGCCTGCGCCTGGGGCATGAAGCTGCGCGCCAGGTCCTGGGCGGCGAGATCCAGGGCATACACTCGCGAGGGAGCTCGATCGGGGGGGATCGGCTCAGGGGGGGGGAACTATCGACCTGGAGACGGCGAGACATCGCCGAGGAGCTTCCGACAGCGACCCTGCACGTTCCTGGGAGGGGTGGGCCATCAGGCCCCCATGGGCGATCCATGGGCGATTGGGGGCCGAAGCGCCCCCTCCCCGAGCCCGCCCCACCCCTCGCCCCGGGTCGAGCGAGGGCCCCTTCGGCAGCCGCGCCGGGTCGAGGGCGGACGCCCACCGGGACGAGGTCGAGGCGCCCAGCTCGATCACGGCCCGCCAGGAGCCCAGGATGCTCTTGCAGCAGGCCCCCAGCTGCTGGCGCTCAAGGTTCGGGCGGTACTGCGCCGCCAGGCTGATGACGCTGTCGGACACGTTCTCCGATAGCAGCTCGCCGATGTTCTGGGCGGTGGCCCGGGTGCCCGAGCTGGCCACCTCGACGGGGACGATGGGTATTCCCAGGCGCAGGGCTGTGACAAACTCGCAGATGACCCAGGGCCGATAGAATACGGTGCTCGTCAAGACCAAGATGAGGCCCTTGCACTCCTCGGCGCTGGTCCGCAGCTCGGACTGTGAATAGACGTCGTCGGCGTTGAGGAAGATCCGCGGGGTGTTCCTCGCAAGCCGGTTGTCTTTGGCGTCTGAAGTGCAGTGAAGATGGAGTAGATGTTTCAACATGAGCTTCAAGAGTCGGCACGTCGAGCCTGCCTCGTCCTTGCCGTGACTCAGAAAGCTCACCGGCGGAGCTTGTGGGCCCTCGTCCAAGTCCTTGATCGCCACCTCCCCAGCCGCCACCTGCGCCTCGAACGCCTGGAAGTTCTTCGCGGCGCGCGCCGCGAAGTCCACGAGGCCGCGCGCGATCTGCACCGCCAGCTCGCCCTGGCGACCTCGAATCTGCATGGCATCCTGGGGGCGCTGGCGCATCCACTCCAAGATCAGCCTCTCGAACTGCTGGCACGCTGCCTCGTCGACGCCTGGTCTGGCGATGCTGTCGTACTTGTCGCCGGCCTGTGCGTTCACGGCGCTCAGCTGGTCCTGCAGAGTCACGGCCGCAGCGGGGCCCACATGCATAGCAGCCTTGATGCGCGAAATCACGTCGTCGGTCGTAGTCACGTCCGCGCACAAAGGAAACACGCCCTTGCAGTAGTGGCTCTGCCCTGCCTCTGCGCGCCCACACGTACAGTCTGACAGCTGGCGCACGCGGCAACCGCACTCGCGCGCCGGGCGGCCCGCGGAGTCGGCACAGACGCCGGCGACGGCGACGCACAACACTACGTCGGTGACCCTCTCCATTTTGAGGAGCCCGTCCAAGCACTTTCCCGTGAAAGCGTTGAAGCCCCGCGCCCCAGGGATCTGCAAGATGCGGTTGTCATAGCTAGCTCTTCAGCTCTGAGATGGTCTCCACCCCCAGGTCTCCAGACCTGAGAATGCCATCATCCTTTATGATGTTCAGGATCCCGCTCGGCTCCACCAGCTCGCCGTAGTCCTCCGTGGAAATGATGGGCGTCTCGACGGTCGTGGCGGACGTCTCCTTCAGAGCCTCGATAAGCTTGAAAGTGTTGTTCAACACCTTGCCAGCAGAGGCCTCGAAGACCTTGCGCAGCTTGCCGTCCGCACCGAAATAGTCGTGCTGGTACCCTATCATGATGACCGCGGTGTGGGCAAATGGGCGCTTACCCGCCAACTGTGCAGTGTTTAGCATGCTGCTCTGGAATGTGTTTAGGGCCACAGGTGGCTTGTAGATCTTGCCTGCCTCCGCAGACTTGAGGTCCTGCAAGATGCCGTCGGCGGTGGTCACGTTCGAATGGAGCGGGAACACGCTACAGCAATACTGCTCCTGCTCCGCCTCGGTGCGCCCACAGGTGCAGTCCGACAGCTGGTGCACGCGGACCCCGCGCTCGTGCGCCGCGCGGCCTGTGGAGTCGATACAGACACTGGTGACGGCGCCGCACAACACCACGTCAGTGACACCCTCGCTTTTCAGGAGGCGCTCCGAGCAGGTGCCTTTGAAAGCGTTGAGGCCCCGCTTCCCAGGGATCTGCAAGATGCGGTTACCATATTTCTTCAACTCTGGGATCGTTTCTGTGCCAGGTTCACCAAAATTTGAAAGTACCCACATCCTGAATGACCTGGAGGATGCTGTTAGGCTCGACAAGTTCACTGTAATCACCTGTGTATCCACAAAGAGAACAGACGACCTTTTCGTGTCATTTATGGTATTGATGGTGTTGATCAGTACCTTCTGCGAAGAACCCTCGATTACCTTGTTCCTGTCGGCGTCAAAATAATCGCGCTGGTACCCGATCTTGATGACAGCCGTTCGTGCGAACTGTTTCTTTCCATTTACGTCCACCGTGACAAGCGAGCCATCCAACAGTGAATTGGGATCGGCTCTAACGGCCTCCACCTCCGCGCCCACCGATTTTCCGCAGGCGTGTCCCATCGCACTCGCTCAACAGATACCTACAGAAACCCCAAGCTGGTCCGCAGGCTGGTCGCAAACGCACAAACAGTTCAACCAGAATGCGAACGAACCCAAGTTGTTACTGATATTTTGGAAGCTCGTTTAGGGTACCCTTGAGGTTTGTTGGGGCACGCAGGAGCCGCGGGGACTATTTTGGGGCCTGTGTCGAAACCCTTGTTGCGTTCCCTTTCGGGTATGATGGGTTTGGGCAAGCCTCTTGCGGAACTTACAAATGTTTGCTACATAAGTTCCTGCACACCATCTGCCCAACAGCCTTACGCACGTGTGCCCTGGCATGACCGGCTTGTGTCGACGCATCACGTACTGGTGCAGTAGAGGCTGCTACGTCAGGTGACACTGCTCGAACAACAGATCCTGGATACCACAAGGTACCGATACCGCTATTCCCCAAACCTCTCCTTGGCTGCGTTCTAACCAACCACAGCTTTCGAAGCGAATCCAGCGGTGGCGACGAGGGCCTCCAAAGTAGCCCCAACAGATGGAAGGGTTCCCTCTTCGTGTTTCAAGCCCGCGGCTGCAGCTCCACAGCTTTGACCCGCGTGCATCACGAATTCGTCCAAATCTTGTTTCTTTATCCAAATAGGCTTGCCCTATAGGAGTCCTAGCTCATCATGGCTAATTAGCTTTTAGGGCCCCCCCCTTTTCCAATGGCCCCCCCCCTGATTTCCAATGGCACCCCCCTCCCCCCCCCTTTTGCCAATGGCACCCCCCCCACTTCCAATAGCATCCCCAAGCTATTTCCAATGGCGATTCCTATGGGTTCCGACGGATTCCTATAATTGTATGGATTCCTGTGCCTATGCCAATGCCTAGACGCCAATGCATATGCCAATGCCTATGCGTATGGAATCCTTCGGATCCTGAGCTGGGATGCCTATGGATTCCGACGGCTATCCGTACTTGCAGGCCTGCTCGTTTCTTGCTGTTCGCTTCTTTTTGCTTGCCATTTCATGTTTGATGTCCTCTCCTCCCGTCCTCTCCTCCTCGCCTTCTCCTTCTCTCGCTCTTCTCCTGTCCATCTATCTATTTGGAGTCAACGCTGGCTGATATTTATTGCACGGGGAATGTTTCGCCTGAAGGCCGCGACCCAAATCCGCCGCATCGGCTACGGCGCGTCGCCAACGACCCAGATAACGAAGCCCGACGCTGCTTCCTTGCGCTCCCCCTTGTTCCTTCCCCCCCCCCGGGCTCGCCCCCCGTTTCTGCCACCCCTTGCGGCACCCCCTGTTTCCTCCATCCCCGCCCAAAAGCCCTCCTCATCCTGCTTCACAATCGGGCCCCCCGCTTCACCCTCCACCATCCCGGCAAGGCACGGCGGGGTCGAATCGACGTCGGCAGCGCGCGGGATCGAACCCAGGGGCTCGTTGCCAGCGGGGCCCCCCGCCGACTTTGGCCACCACCGAGAAGCGCAAGTCAAAGGGGCCCTCTCCGCAATCCTCCCTACCCCTTCACCCTGGCCAAAGCTACAGCGGCAATGCGCGGCGACGCTCGCGAGGCGCATGGAGGCGGCGGGAATCCAGACGGCGCGGAATCGCATGGCGATCGCAGAGGAGGAAGCCCCGCCAGACTACCCGCCCAGGCCAGCGGCGGGCGGCTGGACACCGCGCGCGAACGCGCGGTGCAGAATTGCGCGGACGAAACTCGCGGGGGAGCCGCTGCGCCAGCGAGAGGAAATTCCCGAATCGAGCACGGCAACACAAGGCGACCGTGCGCGCGAAGCATGGGGCTGGCGGGCGCCCACGGGCCCCGTGGACGGAGGTGGAGCTGAGCTCTGGCTTTTTGGAGGCGGAGCCGAGCTCCACCTCCAAACGCCAGTGCCAATGCTCCCCGCGCTCCGCTGGCCACTGCGAGGCCCGAGCGCCGTGCGGGCGGGTGCCCCCTCATGCAGGCGGACGGACGCCGCTTCCGAACGCGCACACGGCCTGGCTGGCTTCCAGACGTGCCCTCCGGCGCGGCGCGCACCGTGAGTTTGGTGCTTCTCGGCGGTTCCACCTTCTCGCCCGTTCGCGAGGAGTTCGGCTGTCAAGCACATACGCCAGAGACCCCACACCGACTATCCAGAAGGCGCGGCAAGGCCCGCATCGCAACACGGACGCATGTTCCGATTGCTCACGGCGGCTGCACTACCATCGTGGCTGGCGATCCCAGGCCGTTCCCTTCCCTGCCCAGCATGTCTACCGCTTCATGACGTGCGCTTTCACAGTCGGCAAAGGACGAAGGGTGGGACAGCCCTCTGGCACGATCTCGACGAGCAGGACAAGAAGGACGAGGAGGCAAAAGAGGACAAGGGGGAGGACAGAGCATGAAGACGAAGAGAACAAAGGTGAGGACGACTATGAAGAGAGGGGGAACGAGAAGCACGAGGACGATTAAGGGTTCTTGAGAATTCCTTCTCCTTCGGGCGTCGTGGAGCAATCCTGGAACCCGCTTGCAGCCTCTGGGACCCAACTGGGCATTTTGGGGCGCCCGTACCGTCATCGCGTTACCGTAAGGACCGCTGAAAGAAAACAAGAACAACAAAAAAAAAACGGTGGCTCTGGCAACTGCAAGCCCTTGACCACGAGTCCGCCGACCCCCGCTCGCGGAGAGCGCCAGGACAGTCCAAAAGAACGTCGAGACGGCCAAGGGTGGCACCTCGACGGTCCAGGATTGGTTCGAGACGGCCCACGAGGCCCCCGAGCCGGCAAAAGAGGCTCCCCGAGGGCCGCCTACAGGGCCCCGAGAGGCCAAAATCGCCGCGGCGTCCAAGACGGCCCAAGGGCCCCTGAGGCCTCCAAGAGGGAGGGCCCCAAGACAGCCCAAGAGGGCCCGAAGACGGCCGCAGGGGCCCCCAAGACGGCACAGGCCCCAAGAGGGCCCTAGAAGGGGGCCCGGGAGTGGGCGGCACGAACTGACAGGTCGAGCCTCTCCCACCAAGATGGCCCCGAAAGCTCCCACGACGCCCCCGAGCCGCCCACAGGAAGGCACAAGAGGCCTTCACGGGGCCCCCAAGAAGCCCCCAGGAGGCCCCCAAGAAGGCCCACCAGGCCCCCCAAATGCCCCCGAAGAGCCCTCCAAGAGGCCCCTGAGAGGTACCCCACGAGCCCATCGCATGCATCCAAAATCTTCCGACCCCATGTGCTCGGACCCCACTTGGGAGGCATAGGGCCCCCGAACAGCCCCAAATCGTGGCCCGAGGCGTGCAAGCGGACCGGGGAGGGGGGCAGGGAACGCGTTGAGAGACGAAAAAGGGGCCATGAAATCTGGGAGACTCCGCAGCCGCAGCCACGGTATTGCATACACCCGCAGCCATCACCCCCAGACCCAACAGTGCTCACCCCAAGAGGTCTCGATACAGTCCCTGGGACGGGCTCTCCATCCGGAGTCACTGCTCGACTGTCCCAGGGCACGGCGTGGCGACTGACCCCAAGCCTAAAATGGCAAACAACAAAATACCCTGCGACGTACCCAACCGATAGGCACCACGAGATGACGTCAGGTGTGCCGATACTAGCGCGGCAGCAAAACTGCAGAGACGGTGCACTGCAGATATGTATATCGTGCGAAGTGTGCATGGCCGACTCACAGAACAGAGGACAAAATAACAGGACGTATTGCACTGGGAAGGAGAAACGAAAGGAAGACATCGGGGTGGAATCCGCCGATCCGGCGTGTGAGTTCCAAAGACCTTAAAATATAGCCTGAACCTCAGTTCTTGAACTTCAGCTCTGCTGGGGGGGGGGGGGCCGGGGTGGCTTTGCCGGGGTAGGGGAAGGGGGGGGGTCCCTAATCTATTCTGGTGGCAAAATCGGAGCTCCAGCTCAGTCCGGGTCGGCCCCTCGCCCTGGAGAGCTCGAACGCGGGCTCATGAAAAACCCAGCGGCCGCCGAGACGGCCCAAGAGGGCCCTGAGTGGCCGAAACATCGCTCCAAGACACCCAATCTGCTCCTCAGACAGCTCCAGAAGCCTCCAACGTGCCCTCCCGACACCTAAGAGTGCCCAGAGACAGAAAATCTGCCCCATTCCCTTAGGAAAACGTTTTTGTTGCATGTTCGATTCTTCGGCCTTCGCAATGTCCAACACGGCCCAAGAGACACCCAAAACAGGCCCAGAGGCTCTCAAGAGGGCCCCAAGTCGGCCCAAGGAAGGGCCCAAGACGGCCTGGGATGCCCCCAACCAAAACAGCCCAAGCGGGCCCCAGGACGGGCCCAAGAAGCGCGCAAGAGGGTTCCATGACGGTCCCTGAAGAGCCCAAGAAGGCCCAAGAGGCGCCCAGGAGGCACCAAAATGGCCTTGGGAGTCCCCCAGAAACCCCGAGAGGCTCCAAGTGGCCCTCAAGAGGCCCCCAAAAGGCGTCCAACAGCGCCCCCGAAGGCTTAAAGATTATCTACTGCGTGGAGCTCCCCACATGTGCATCTCATGTTTTATGTCATGCCATAGCGAGCGTCTGTTCATGAGCGTTTGACTATAATAGCGCGTCCACATGGGCGACAGGGCCGACGAAGACGAGTGAATCCTAATGCGGGTGAGTGAGTATGAGTCAGAGTGAGCTTTGATTATGATTGAATATGAGCCTCCCATTTAGCGCCAGCGTCCCCATGGCGGCCCCGCATCAATTTCGGCACACCCCACAAACGCGCTTCGTGGCCCCTCACACGCTTCGCTTCCCAATAGGGACCTGCCTCTCCTTCGTCCCACCTGCCTTGCGGCATTCGCACCCGCATATGGCTGGGTCCCCAGACCCCCGACGTCGTGATTTTTGCACAACATCGACCCCCAAAGCTCTGGATCCCTTCCCTGGGACCGGTTTTTCACACCGGGCCGTGTCTTGACGGCCCCGAGGCCTCGAAAGGCCCCCCGGAAACCGAAACTGGCCAGAAACCTCCAGTCATGACTTCTGTCGCGACGCGAGGGGGTCTGGGGATGGTAGGGAAACCGACGAATTCTCCGGCCCTGCACTGAAATTTGCACATGAACGCGGATCCTGGTGTATACGGGACCCTGGTGTATACATGTGCCGTTGGTTCCCTGGGAAACCAAAAAATATACACCACCCCACCCCGACGTCGTCCCCGACCCTCGAGAAAGTCCTGGGGTGGAAACTCGGGAGCGGCCAAGAGGGGGGTGTCCAAGAGGGGGGTGTGCAAATCATGACCGGCGGCACGTGCGCGGCCCAGCGAAGGGGCCAGGGACGTAACGAAGCAAGAAGAGGCGCCATGAAATCTGGGGAAATATCATGGCCCGCGCCATGATACCCACCCCCCCTAGTCATCACCCCCCTCTCTGCCGCCCCCGAAAAACACAGCCCGCCGCTGGCAATGTACATGTTCCAGTTTCCGAGGTGGCTTCAGGAAGGGAAAAAACACACAGACATCATGAGTCGTCGATTCCCAAGAAAATGAAAATGTCGGAAAAGATGGGAAGTGAAGGGCAGGCAAAAACTAAAAAAAAAAAAAAATGGGGAATCCTTGTATTTCTGTGTATCTATTTGTGTGCCCCAGGGCCCCATTCATGGTTGGGCCCCTCGATCGGCTCGTTTTTGCCCACGGCGCGAGGGGCGCTGGGCCCCTTGCGGGCGCCCCCGAGGCCTCTCCTCGCACCGCCGGGGCCCGGGGCGGGCGACGAGCCCGCCGCCCGAGCGCGGCGCGCGTCACCGCCGCCCGAAGGCGTCGCCGGCCTCGGAGATGGCGAAGAGGAGCCTCCTCTCCAGCTCCTGGGGCGCGGCATTACTTACACGAAGGACTGCAAAAAAAAACCAGGATTGTAAAAAAACGAAGGATTGCAAAAAGGATGGCAAAAAAACCAAGGATTGCAAAAGAACCCCCCTCGAACGAAGGGGGAAAAAAAAAAAAAAACTCGAACGAAGGGTTTTTTTGCAATCTAAACCCCCCTCGCGCTGCAAGAAAACTATCACGGCGGGGGGTCGTGTTTTTCGCTGTCTTCGGCCTCCGGGGGCCCCTCCCGGGCCTCGGGGCCGTCACGACACGACGGAGGGTGCAGAACCGGTCCCGGGGAAGGGGTCCAGACCTCTGGGTGTCGACGCTGTGAAAAAATCACGAAGTCGGGGGTCTGGGTAATCGAAGGGCGGCACCGTGAGGGCATCGGAGAAGGAGCCACTGAATCAGGAGCCCGGGATCTGAGAGCCTGGTGGAGGACCAATTGAGACTTGGCCAGGGATCCCGCCGCCGCCATCATCGGATAAGGAGCCCCCCAGGGTTGGAAGCTTCCTGGGCACCTTCCTGAACCAACGCCCCGACGGATGGGGGGGGGGGGGGCGAAGAAGCGAGAACCGCTCGTGCCCCTCCTGGGCCCCAGCCAGAGGGCCCTGTTTAGGATCCCTCGGGCACACGCAGAACGCACCCTTCTTCACCCCCCCATGTACCCAGACCCCCGACGTCGTCGTCGTCGTCGTCGTCGTCGTCGTCGTCGTCGTCGTCGTCGTCGTCGTCGTCGTCGTCGTCGTCGTCGTCGTCGCTGTCGTCGTCGTCGTCGCTCCCCAGACCCCCGACGTCGTGATTTGTGATTTTTCCGCGACGTCGACCCCCAGAGGTCCAGACCCCTTCCCCGGGACCGGTGTTGCATCCTCCGTCGTTGTTCGACGGTCTCCCGAGGCCGGGCGACGGCCCCTGGAGGCGAAAGAAAGCGAAAAACCTCCCGCCGTGATTTTTTGTCACGACGCGAGGGGGCCTCCTCCTCCTCCTCCTCCTCCTCCTCCTCCTCCTCCTCCTCCTCCTCCTCCTCCTCCTCCTCCTCCTCCTCCTCCTCCTCCTCCTCCTCCTCCCTCCTCCTCCTCCTCCTCCTCCCTCCTCCTCCTCCTCCTCCTCCTCCTCCTCCTCCCTCCTCCTCCTCCTCCTCCTCCTCCTCCTCCTCCTCCTCCTCCTCCTCCTCCTCCTCCTCCTCCTCCTCCTCCTCCTCCTCCTCCTCCTCTCTCTCTCTCTCTCTCTCTCTCTCTCTCTCTCTCTCTCCCGCACGCGAGCATGCTTGAAGCTGTTCCATATGCTGCTCGTAAGAAATCCCAACAAACAATTGCCGATGCTGAAGCTCAAGCCATTGTTGGTACTGCTGATGGTGAATCTGAAGGGCTTGAAGTTGTTCAGCTTGTGCTGCCTGTTGCTGTACCTCCTGCTGCTGTTGTGCCTGCTGTTGGGCGATCTGAGCCTCTGCCATCTTCTCCATTTCAACCAATCTCCTGCGTTCTGCTTCCAGCTCGGCTTGTCTTTTGTCCAACGCCTCTTTTTCAGCTCCGAACTCTTTGGCTGTGTCGCGGCTTTGGCTCCTCCCCAACAATCGTTGATCGATAATTTTCTCCTGCATCTCGAACTTCACCTTTAGCTCCGCCTGCGCAGTAGCCTGTGTTGCGACTAGCTTGGTAAGCTGCGATATCTGTTCCGCAATTTGTGCAATCGGGTCTGAGGGACGCGGTGGAGGTTGCGGCATTGTTCGCCGTGGTTCTGGATGCCCTCCACCATCGTCCTCATACTCCATGATGTCGTCGATGCTATCCTCCTCTTCCTTTTGACGTTGTGGGTCGTGAAGAAGCTCCTCCAGCCGTGCCTTTTGTCTCTTTAGATCAGCTTCCTGTTCTTGCAACTTCTTTCTTTCTTTCTTGCACGTTCTTGCGAATATGAGCCTCCACTTTCTCCAGATCGTGTTCTAATATCTTTTTCTGCTCGTACGACGGCCTCCTGATGAGAAGTTGGAACTTGATCATACTGATTTCGTTCATCTGGGCCGTCGGATCCTCCTTGGCTTCTTGTGTCGCTGCCACCATTTTTACTAATACATTCAGTCGAATGACGGCGGTGCCATTGAAATTCTCGATTTCCGATTTGTCCCCTGGTGGCCAAATGAATCCCGGATTTGATGATGCATCCTCATGCGTGGCGATCGGGATCGACTTGTATAGCTTTCCCAGGCCTTTCTTCTCGCTTTTCCCATTTCTTGCTATCGATCGGGGTCTGGAATTACTTCGACCACCACGTCTGTTACTTTGCTGACTCCATGGTGTAGAATCTCGCCAAGTGTGATGCTGATGCCAGTCATAGCTCGATGTATTCCCACCATACTTATTATGCTGTCTGCCCGCCATCTGCTTGTCGTCGTCAATGTACTTCTGGGCACTGTGATGCTCAGACAATGTCCGTACTGCTGGCGCGACCCTTAAGAGGGCCCGTGCTGCTGCCCGCGCCGATCGCAGGCGCCTGTGCCAGGCTGGCTCTCCTTGCCACCTCGTCCTCCTCGACAAGCAGCCTCCTGGCCGCGGCCGCCGCTGGGGTGCGGCACGCCTGAGCCCAGGCCGTGGGGGCGGCCCGCGGCACGAGTGGGGCGACGACGGGCCCCAGGCGCGCGCGGGCGGGCCCTCCCCTCCTCGGCCCGTGGCGTTCCTCCTTCTCCTGCTCCTGCTCCTCCTCCTCCTCCTCCTCCTCCTCCTCCTCCTCCTCCTCCTCCTCCTCCTCATCCTCTGGGCATCGCCCCACCACTGCGCAGCGCTCGAGCTCCTCCTTCGAGGCGTACTCTGGGAGGTCTATGGTGTTGGCGCACGTGTGGGCCTCGGGGCGCCACGACGCCCCATCGGAGGGTCCCCGCGGGGCTCCAGGAGGCTGCAAAACGGCCCCAGGAGGGCTCCCAGGTGCGCTGTCCCAAGAGGCTTAGGTCGGGCGTGTCCTCCCACAGGGAGATTTTGGACAAAAATTATATTTGTTTAGTTGTTCTAATTGAAAAATAATAGAAAAATCGTCCACGTACTATTTTTTGGCTATTTTTGAATATTCCTCCTGTAGAGGGACATGCCCGACTTGACAAGCGGACTCGAAGGTGGCCCGCGACGGCCCCGGGAAGCCACCGAGACGCCCCAGGAGGGAGAGCGTCGATGAAGGGACAAAAAAAAATCAACCTCAAACTGTCGGGGCTCCGCCCTGGCGGCGCCTCCAGCGCCGCTCCTGGCGTGCTTCGTGCGCCTGGGCGGGGGGGGGGATCCAGCGCCGATCCCAGGAATCCGCCTGGACGTGAGTCGGGCATGTCCTCCTACAGGCGGGGCTTGGAGGAAATATCAGACAAAGTGAAAAAGATCGGCAGTATGCGCAGAGATGGTGGACAAAATCGCACCCAGACTATTGTTGGACCACTTTCGAATATACTCCTCCTGTAGAGGGACATGCCCGTCTTAGTGAAGGGGCCCTGAGACACACAAATACATACACACAAATAAAAAGATTCCCCATATGCTTCCATATTTGGGGGGTTTTGTCTTCCCCCCCACTTCCCATATTTCCCATATTTTCTGGGAAATCGCCGATTAATTGTGTCTGTGTGTTTCTTTCCCTCCTGACTTAGGCCCAGACTGAGTCTGTGCTCGTGGCGCCTGCTGCTTCCTTCCTTCGGGCGTGGGCCTCTGGGCACCGGCCGGTCACGGCCACCCGCTGCACCGTGAAGAGGTCGGGCTGCAGGAAGCGGAAGCCGCCCGAGGGCACCTGGGCCCCCCCCCCCATCCTCCTCCTCCTCCTCCTCCTCCTCCTCCTCCTCCTCCTCCTCCTCCTCCCCCTCCTCCTCCTCCTCCCCCTCCTCCTCCCCCCCCTCCTCCTCCTCCTCCTCCTCATCCCCGACGGCACCTGGGGAGAGCCGGTGGCGAAAGAGAGCAGCGACGCGCGGGAGGCCTGCGTCATCGACCTGACCACGTCCCAGAACCACAGCACGGGCTGCGAGTCCTCGGTGGAGCCGCTCTTCTCTTCGCTCGTCTTGCCCCGCCCGCCCCCCCCCCTCTCCCACCCCAGCCCTGGAACCTGTACTCCCCCCATCAGTGGACCTCCTCGGCATGAAAAAGGCCAGCTTCCCACCTGATAGAGGGGGTTGGAGGGGGGTACTCCACGCCGCAAGAGCTGACCCAATGAGGGGGAGGAGGAAGTGGAGTGAGGAGGCGCAGCCGTGCCTTCGTGTACCCGTTCTCGTACTGGGTGTGCTGCTCCCAGTCGTCCACGTCGACCTCGTCGGCCCCACACACCATGACCTCGATCTCCTTCAGGGACATGAGCTCCCCGATCCTCAGGACGACCTCCTCGGGCACCACGCGGAGCAGGCCTCTCCGGAAGCACTCCACCTGCCGCCGCAGGCCGCTGATGAGGAGCCTGTCGAGGAGCCGCTCCACGAACTCCTCCTTGTTCTCCTCCGTCACGGCGATCTGGTCGCCGCTCTCCTTCAGCATCGCGTCGTCCACGAGGCCCGCGCAGTGCGACTCGTCCACGGCGAAGACCCGGGGCAGCCCGGCTTGCTCGAGCACATCCTGCAGCGAGTCGCCGATGTGCCTGTAGCTGCCGTCCAGGACGTACTTCACCTTTCGAGTAGGGGATCCACTACGTGATCAGTTTACCCGAAAGCTGATACTCTCGTCGATAAAACCTAGAATACTCGCTCTACGAACATTATACGAAGGTTTTTGTTTCCTGGCTTCGGCGGGAAAGTCAATTTTGGGGTAAGTCAATTCTGTAGTCGATCCCCTACTCCAACCTTGGTGTACAACGTCTTGTCGACGCTCTCCAGCAAAGGCAGCAGATCCTGGGGGCCCGTCTTCAGGCCGAAGACGGCTCTCAGGAAGTTGTGGCCGAAGTGCACGGGGACTGTGTCCTTATGCAGGAGCGCGAAGCCGAGGATGCAGCCGAAGAGCTCGAACTGTTCCTCCCAGTCGTCCTGCACGCGCCTGCACACGGACTCCGGCGAGGGCACGAAGACCGAGCCCCTGAGCTGGCGATCTGCAGTGCCCCCAGCGTCCGCGTCGGCGGTTCTCGAGGATGTTATAAGGGAACAAACCATGACAGAATCATAACAACTCGGAGGTCCGCGCGGATTTCCCGGATCGGCGCTGGACCCCACCTCCCCGGAGCGCGGAGCGCGCCGGAGGCACCGCCAGGGGGCCCCAGCGCCGATCCGAGGAAACCGCGCGGACCTCCGAGTTGCTATGTTTATGTCAGTGTGTGTTCCTCTCGAGGAGGACGGGCTGCGGAAGAGGTCCGATGAGAGGAAGTGCCGGGAGCCCCTGTCCAGCCACTGCCGCCGGAGGCCACCCTGATCCTCGCCTTCGTCCATGAGCTCCTGGCCTGCGCTGTCCACGAGCCCAGTCCTGAACTCGATCTCGACCGGCACGTCGATTCGCGCAGACTGGTCCTGCAGGTTCAGCGACGAGCACACGCCGTCCAGCACGTTGTCACGCGGCACCACAAGCCGGATGGGGTCCCCGTGCATATGCAGCTTCACGCGCTCGCACACGGCGTGGATGGCGGCGCGCTTGGTCGCAAACTCGAGGAGGCAGGGGTAGAAGGAGATCTCCTCCATGAAGTCGGAATTCACAAAAGCGTCGTCCTGAAGCACCGCGTTCATGACCACCTTGAGATCGGCAAGCTCTGGAGGGATCTCCTTCTCTTTGAGCAGGTCCGCGTACAGGCTGATGAACGGCGGCACCAGCGGCGCAACGCACTCGAGCCGGTACTTCTGCTCCTCCACGGGCATGTCCACCATGGACTGGAACAGAGCCGAGAGCACGGCCGGCTCCACCAGGTCCTGGGTAAACCAAAAGGTACGGATACCGCTGCTCCCAGACCTCTCCCAGGCTACGTTCTGACTTAAATTTCGAAACGAATGGGCACCTTTTACTCATCCCCCTCCTCCTCCTCCTCCTCCTCCTCCTCCTCCTCCTCCTCCTCATCATCATCATAATCATCATCATCATCATCAGCATCATCATCATCATCATCATCATCATCATCATCATCATCATCATCATCATCATCATCATCATCATCATCATCATCATCATCATCATCATCATCATCATACTTCTCCACTCTTTTTCCTTATGAATAACGTTTCCCTGTCGCACCCCGAAGCAAGTTTTTAGGGCGGGCCCAGGGGGCCGCCTGAGACTTCCTCACCATTGATGACCCTGGAGCTAAAAAAATTCCCAGTGCGACCCTTTGGAGCATCTAGGAAAGCAACATCTACATCTACACCGACAGCTACATTAACATCTACACCTGCATCTACATCTACATAAACATCAACAGCGACTACATCTACATCTGCAGCTACACCTACATCCACATCTACACCTACACCTACGTCTACATCTACATCTACATCTACATCTACACTTGCGCATTGGTTTTGAGTTTGCTTTGCATGATATGCAATGCTATGCTATATTATGATATGCTTGGCTATGCTATGCGATGCTATGCAGTGCTAATGCTGCGCTGCGCAATGCTGCGCTAAGCTAAGCTAAGCTAATGTAAGCTAAGCTATGCTTCCCTATGCTATGCTATGCTATGCTGCGCCATGCTATGCTATGCTATGATATGCTATGCTGCGCTATGCTATGATATGCTAGGCTGTGCTATGATATGATATGCTGCGCTATGCTATGCTATGCTATGCTATGTTATGCCGCGCTATGCTATGCTATGCTATACTATGCTGTGCTATGCTATGCTATGCTGCGCTGTGCTATGCTAAGCAATGCTATGCTATGCTATGCTATGCTGCGCTCTGCTATGCTATGCTATGATGAGCTATGCTATGCTATGCTATGCTATGCTATGCTTGGCTATGCTATGCTATGCTGTGCTAATGCTGCGCTGCGCTATGCTGCGCTAAGCTATGTTAAGGTAAGCTAGGCTATGTTAAGCTAAGCTAAGCTAAGCTAAGCTAAGCTAAGCTAAGATAGGCTAGGCAAAGCGGGCGATGCTGGGGGGAACCGCGGGGCGGATGCCGGGGGAACCGCCCGGGGTGGGGTCCATTGCCCGGCCCTTTAAATATACACAGTAAGACCCCTTCTAGGCAGAGCCTAGGTAGGGAATAAGCTAAGCAAAGATGAGATAAGCAACGCTAAGCTAAGCTAAGATGAGCTAAGCATGAGCTAAGCTAAGATGAGATAAGCAAGCTAAGATGTGATAAGCTATGATAACATAAGCTAAGATGAGGTAAGCAACGCTAAGCTATGCTAAGATAAGCTAAGCTAAGATGAGATAAGCAACGCTAAGCTCAGTTAAGATGAGCTAAGATGAATAAGCTAAGTTAAGATGAGATAAGCTAGATTAAGATGGGCTAAGCTAAGCTGGGGGAACCGCGGGGCGGAAGCCGGGGGAACCGCCCGGGGCGTGGTCCACTGCCCAGCCCCTTAAGCTTATACAGTAAGAACCCTTCTAGGCAGAGCCTAGGTAAGGAATTTGGCAACAGTTTCACAGATGGAGGTGGGTCGTTTTCAAAATGTGGCTCCTCGGCGAAGCGCGGCGCACATTTGCTCTAAAAATGTGCAAGAGCTTCACGGATTGAGGGCGGGTCGTTTTCACAAAATGTCGCTCTCGCCTTAACGCGGCGCACATTCGTTCTAGAAAGTTGCAAGAGCTTCACGGATTGAGGGCGATTCCTTTTCAAAATGAAGCTCTCGCCTAAGCGCCGCACAAACTTTTTCTCGTCAGCGGCAAGGCGGCGAAACCCGCTCCAGCGAGAAGCTAGAAATGGGCACAAACTAGCGAATTGGCCAGCGGGCAAAGAGGGAGGGGGGACGGCCGAGATGAAGAAGGGACGCTCAGACGTCGAAGAATTCGACGATGACCAGCCCAGCAGCCAGGCGCGCAGGGCCAGAGCGCGGTGGGCGGCCGTGGCGAACTACGGTGGCAAGGGTGGCAGGAGGGCGGCAGCCAGCGGCTGGAGCTGGCAGGCGGGCGCATTGGGACACCACGAACGGCGTACCAAGGCGCGCCGGGGAGTAGGCGCAGCACTGAGCCACGCGGAGGCAGGAGCAGCGGCCAGATGGCTGGCAGTGACTGGGGTTTTGAGGAGTGACAAGGCCAGGTGGTCAGTGGACTGGGAAAGGTGGGGCGGGAGGCGGCGGGCGAAGCGTCCCAGGCACCCGCAGGCGGCGGGGCGGAACAGCAACGCAACGGGAGGAAGCGCGGGGCAGCCAGAAGGAGGTGGCAACGCAGCCACATGGATGGCAATGAAAGGGGAGCGGCGGCGACCGCCCAAGGCCGCGCCAAGTGGCCAGAGGGCAGAGGGGGGAGGGGCAGATGGCGGCGAGCGAAGCGTCCCGAGCGCCCACAGGCGGCGGGGCGGAACGGCAACGCATAAGACCCGCACACACTCGTTTACAAAGTGTGCAGGAGCTTCACGGATTGAGGGCGGCTCCTTTTCAAAATGTGGCTTTCGCCTTAGCGCCGCGCGTACTCGTTTACTAAAAGTGCAAGAGTTTCCCGGGTTTCCATTATACTTCCGCCAGAAATCGTGTTTTGAAAGGATTCAGAACTGTGCGGATGCAACAACTATGTTGCTTCGCTGTGTTATTGAAGTCCCAGGAATGGCATTCTAGCACGATTCCCGACTGTCAAGACGGGACAGTCAGGTTGATCCGTGGCGTTGGAATCCCGAGAACAATGCTTTGGCATGCTTCAGGGTCTTCAAACGGTTGTCGTCAAAAGAGGCAGTTCCCTCAATGGATATGAACCTTGTAGGGGCCTATGAAGAGGGAGCTTGGAGGGAGGGTGTATTCCAACATCGTTGATGACTCTTGGGTTTACACTGATCCTCCGCCTCCTCCTCTTCCTCCTCCTCTTCCTCCTCCTCCTCCCCATGCCTCCTCCCCCTGCCTCCTCCTCCTCCTCCTCCTCCTCCTCCTCCTCCTCCTCCTCCTCCGACTCCGACTCCTCCTCCTCCTCCTCCTCCTCCTCCACTTCCTGCTCCTTCTCCTCCTCCGCCTCCTCCTCCTCCGCCTCCGCCTCCTCCTCCTCCGCCTCCTCCTCCCCCTCCTCCTCCTCCTCCTCCTCCTCTGCCTCCTCCACCTCCTCCTCCTCCTCTGCCGCCTCCTCCTCCCCCACCTCCTCCTCCTGAGGTCCCCCGCGTCGGCGTCCGACTGGCAGTGCTCCCAGAGGCCCTCGACCCAGTCCGTGTCCAGCTGGCGCTCGTCCAGGGGCAGCGCGCCGCTGCCGGGCCCGGCGCGGGCCTCGGCCCGGGGCCCGAACGTGGGCACGCGGAGCATCAGCACCTGCACCATGAAGCGCAGGAGGAGCTTGGCGTGGGCCACGGCCTCCGCCCTCTCGAGGGGCGCAGAGTTCCCCGAGAGCCCGGCGTTGCCATCGCTGTCGCGCTCTCGCGCTCCACGTCGGACCCCAGGAGCCTCACAGATCGATCCGGCTCGAAAAATGACGCAGAAAGATGGGGACCGGGACTCCGGTCGTGATTTCTTGCGATGTTGACTTTTCTTTGCAATGTCGCATCTCAGGGACTGGCATATGAACCAGGGATCGGCCCAAACAATGTATTCGTGTTCGTTCTGTTTCATTCGTCGTCCCTCGTGCTGTCCTCGGTCCGCCCCTGCTGCAAGAGGAGTTCGAAACGAGAACGGTCCGCGAAATCGCCAGAACACCGTTTAGGCCGACCCTTGACATACACGTGAGCTTTCAAAGGTCCGCGCTGGCGTGGACCGGCTCTGGACCCCCTCCCTGGCGCGCGGAGCGCGCCAGTAGCGGCGCCTGAGGCGCCGCCAGGGGGGGAGGGGGCCAGAGCCGATCCAAGGAATCCGCGAGGAGCTCCACAATTTGTTTGTGTTTACGTCATTCGTTGTTCCTCGACCTCGTCCGCCTGGATATGTGGTCCCTGTAGAACACGCCCAGGATCAGGCTGCAGGTCACGCCAGCCATGCGGACCTCCTGCTCCAGGAAGTCGCCCCGGACCTTGGCGCTGACCTCCTGGCCGTGCCACTGGTCGTGCCTCCCGAAGACCTCCGTGCACGTGCGGAGCAGCGGCATGGCCCTGGAGACGTCGAAGTCGAAGGGCTCGGCCCCGCTAAGCCCCACCCAGAAGCCCAAGAAGCGGTCCAGCGTCTTCAGCGCCGCCGCGAGCTCCGGGCAAAAGGCCTCCCACTCGTCGGCCTCCAGCACGTCCCCGCGGTCGGCCACGACCCGGGGGAGCGCCTCCAGCACCGGCAGGAACCTGTGACTGGGAACGACAAGGGGGGATTCTGGTGCAGGGGGGGGACTCCTCCTCCTCCTCCTCCTCCTCCTCCTCCTCCTCCTCCTCCTCCTCCTCCTCCTCCTCCTCCTCCTCCTCCTCCTCCTCCTCCTCCTCCTGGGGTCGGCGATGCATCGCCGACAGATTGGCCATGGGCCCGCGAGGGCGAAGCCACACGCCTCTGGGCGGGGCGGGCGAGCGGGCCCGCAGCGGCGATCATCGGGCGCTCGGGGGTCGAGGCATCCACCCTGGGCCCGTCCCCCCTCCCCCCCCCCCACTCGTAAGTCGGGCGTGTCCCCCCACAGGGGGATTTTCGACGAAAAATAAGAAATGCCCCAAAAATACTCCAAGACGTCCCCAGACTATGCTTGGCCGATTGTTTGATCATTGTTTGGGTATCTTTTACTTTTCGCCGAAAATCCCCTCGTAGGGGGACGGGCCCGACTGAACCCTATTCCGGGTTTCTTAACAAGCGTGGGGGGGTACCCCCCGACGGGGGTCACCCTCGCCCCGTCGACGGGGGTCGGAGCGCCTTCGGCGCGCGGTGGCTGCCCGCGACGGGGGTCGATGTGGGGCCGTCGGCGGGCCCCCGACGCTTCTTAAGAAACTCGGAGCAGCCTTGCTCCTGAACCTCTCGGGGCTCCAGAACTCGGCGTGGAACCCCGTGAAGTCCTCGTAGAAGCTCGCGTGCTCCGCGAGGTGCACACGCTCGGCGGCGCGCCCGCGCGGGGAAGGCAGAGAGGGGCCGGCCTTCTCGGGAGGCGGCGGGGTTTCGCAGAAGCCCTCTCCCGCCTCCACAGACGCCGCCCTCCGACCTCCAGTCGATTCGCTTTGCGAAGCGAGCCCAGCAGGGCACCCTCCTGGCAGCCAGAGGTGAAGGGGCGGGCCGAGGGGCAGGAGGGTCGGCCAGTGAAGGCGTGCACTCGTGTGCACCCCCGGGCATGCACTCCTGGGCGGGCGGCAGGGGCGAGGGTACGGCCGTGTGCACCGTGGAAACTGCTTGTCCCAGCCGCCTCCTGTTGTGTTGGGTCCTCGTTGCGAATCAGCAGCGCACCGCGTCCTCCTCTGCCTCCTCTCCTCCTGCCCCCCCTCCCTCCCGCCCCCCCTCCCTCCTCTTGCCTCTTCCCTCCTCCTGCGGCGTTGTGATGCGCCTTGAGCGCCTTCCGCCGATGAGGGGGGGGTATGGGATACGTCGGGCGGAGCATTTACAACTTGGCGCCCCTGTTGCTAGATACCGCGTGCTTCTGCCAGCAGCTAGTGAGTGCCGCACCAAGCTGACCGCCCCCTCGGCGAATCAGAGCGCAATTCCAAAAATTCCCCCCCTCCCACCCCTGCCTCAGCCGTTCGCATGTTCATGCTCTCATGTTTCACTGAGGCCAGGTTTAGGTCGGGCCTGTCCCCCTGCACGGGGACTGTGGACGAACAATAAAGCATACTCAAAAAATAATACTCAACAGATGCCCCAAAATACTCAAAGATTAATGTTTTTTTCTCCCCTGCGCACTCCCCCTGACGCTATCCTGCGTGCAGTTCCCAGTGCAAGCACCTAGACAACAAAGTGTGGCTCGTTTCGGCGCTTTGCTAGCCGAAGAGCCCCCCACTGTCAACCTGCAGCGCCGGCGAAAACCGTTGCATTTGTAAGCCGTTTTCTTCCTCGCCCAGCGCGCTGACAAACACGCAAACAAACGTCCCCAGACTATGTTTTGACTATTTTTGAATATTCCCCCTGTAGAGGGACAGGCCCGGCTTCAGGCCAGGTGGCTGGAATCCCCCTCTGGGCCCCGGGGGGTGCCCCGTGGGACCCACTGCACGGTCAAATGGACCCCTCGAGAGGATCTGGCCGACCCAAAAGGGGGTCCAGCTGCAAGGGGGTGGTGCAATAGATTTGGGGCAATTGTATTGCAAACGTATTGCGATGGAGAATTGTATTGCATTGCATTGCAACTAATGTCTTGCACGCGGAAATTCAGCAATACAGTTGCGCCCCAGAATGTACTGCACGCCCCAAATGTCTTGCAACCCCACAAATCTATTGCCCCAAATCTATTGCACCACCCCCTTGTCGCTGACCCCCTTCTGGGTCAACCCGAGAGGAGAAGCTGGTCCGAGGGCATGGGTCGGGACCTCTGGGGGTCGACGCTGTGCAAAAATCCCCAGACCCCCTCGCGCTGTGACCAAAAAAACGACGGGAGGCGTCTCGCTCTCCTCGGCCTCCCGGGGCGCTCGCCGGGCCTCGGGACCGTCCAAAGACCACTCAGGACGAAGTGCCAGTCCCGGGGAAGGGTTCCAGACCTCTAGGCGTCGACGCCGTGGAAAAATATAACGTCAGGGGTCCGGGTCTTAGCTGCCCCGATACGCAACACGCAGCACGTGGCGTCTTGATACGGAGCTCAGCACGCAGACTGAAAAACGCAGGCCTGGCGCGACACGTTCGCCGCAACGTGGGCCAACACGTGAAGCCAACGCGCAGCGTACTGACGCGGACGTCTTGAACACGGCACGTGCTGCGCATCAAAGAGGGCGTGTATCGAGGCAGCTGAGGTCTGGGTCTTACGCGCAGACGACTTACCAGGCATGCGACGTCCTGCTTTCAGAATACGGCATCCCTGGAAGTCCCGACCCTTTCCCCGGGACCGCCTTTTCGCCCTGAGTCGTGCCCGGCGAGTGCCCACCGAAGCCGAAAACGGGCAAAACCCGCCCGCCCTGATTTTTTGCACGACGCGATCCAGTCTGCGGTAACCCCCCGGGCGCGCCGCCGACATACACGTTCACCGCCCCGGCGAGCTCCGACGCGGGCCTCGCCTCGCCTGGGAGGCAACGACAGGGGGGGGGGGCGGGAGCTGGCATCGGGGGGGATGCATCGACCTGGAATCGGCGATACGTCGCCGATAGAGCGGCGATGGGCCCCCGACTGCCAAGCCGCACCTTCCCGGGCGGGTCGGGGCTAATTATCGGGCCCCTATCGGCGATCCATGGGGGATTGGGGGTCGATGCATCCCCCCCTGTTCGAGTAGGGGATCGACCACAGAATTGACTTACCCCAAATTTGATCTCCTCGTCGAATCTACGAAGAATGCGCAGAATGTTCGCACATCTAGTAAGACTTCCAAGCGTTTTCCAGTAGACTCGGCGAGAAAACTAGCTCTGGGGTAAAGCGGTTATGTGGTCGACCCCCTTCTCGTCCTATGCCTATCCGACGGGGCGACATTGGCGGGTCCTTTCGGGTTGCCAGGGGGGGTTGGGCCGAGATCCCGCTGCGCTTGTTCGAAAAAAGAAGAGCACATCAGGGGTTGCCACAGGGGTTGCCACAGGGGCTGCCACAGGGGTTGCCGCAGGGGCTGCCACAGAGGTTGCCACAGGGAACACTCAGAACTCGCCAGTAAGTTGCCGCAGGGCTTGCCACAGGGCTGCCACAGGTGTGCACGCCGTTCGCCCCTGTGGCACTCCACAAGGGGCGGCGGACCGAACACGCCACCCCGATCGTTGCCCTGCATCGCCTGGCTCCGGCCCCCCGCTGCAGGCCATGGCGGCGGGGCGCCAGGCGCCGGACACCACGAGCGCGCGGCGGTCGCGGGCCGTGGCGGCGTAGCCGCTCCGGACCAGCTGGCTCACGGCGCGCGCGGCGGCCCAGACCTGAGGGGCAGCGCTCCCACACGTGCTCGCGTCGTGGCAAAATGACAACGGGAGGACTTCAGCACAAAAAAAAAAAATCAAAAACAACAAAAAAAAAAAAAAAAAACGACGGGAGGTTTTTGGCCAGTTTCGGCCTCCAGTGAGCCTCGCCAGGCCCCAGGACCGTCAGAGGCATCTTCTCTCTAGGCTACAAATCTGCAAGCGGCCGGGGAGACCCCGCGCCATGCCCACGAGCGTTGCTCCACCCCGGCGGGTGTGGGCAGGGCACGCGCTAAGTGCACACAGGGGGAGGCGGCTCAGGGCTCAAGAGGGGGGATGATCGATATGGAGCCGGCGATGCGCCGCCGCTCATCAATCGGCAATCCCAGACCCCCGACGTAATGATTTTTTCATTACGTCGACTCCAGAGTTCTCGACCCCTTCCCAAGGACTGGTTTGTCATCCTGAGTCGTTTTTTGACGCTCCCGAAGCCCGGTGAGGGCCCCCAGAGGCCGAAAATGGCGAAAAAACTCCCGTCATGATTTTTTCATTACTCGAGGGGGTCTGGGATAGGCCCTGATTGCACAAGACCGCACGGTGCTGGTCTGGGTGGGCTGTCGGGTGCCCGGCGGCGATCGATGGGCGACTGGGGGGGGCGATGTGGCGAAGCCGCGAGGCCCTGGGCCGGGTGGGCTAGCGGGCTCCCGTCGGCGATCGATGGGCGATTGGGGGCCGATGCATCCCCTCCTCCTCCTCCTCCTCCTCCTCCTCCTCCTCCTCCTCCTCCTCCTCCTCCTCCTCCTCCTCCTCCTCCTCCTCCTCCTCCTCCTCCTCCTCCTCCTCCTCCTCCTCCTCCTCAGAGCCCGTGGCCCACCCTGACGGTGCCCCCCATTGGCTTTCGGATCCTGACTCGGCTCTCTGGCGGCCGCTCGGGACGACACGGGCACCCCCGGGACGTTCTCGGCGAGAGCACCGCGAGGCTGGGAAACTTCGGTGGCAACTCAAGGGGGCCTCCCATGCCATCTTGTCGGCGCTTGCGAACCGACGATGGTCGACGCTCACTCAACGCTCATCGACGCTACATCGACGCCAGTCGACGCTAACCGACGCCAAGGCGGCGCTACCTCATCCACTCCCAGCCGCTGCTCGACGCGAATCGACGCTGAAGACGGAGGCACGAGGGCACGCCAGGCTCCCAGGCTCTGCTGCCGCAGACACCCGCCGAGAGCTCACGAGGCCCGGCGAGAGACACCCCCGAGGACCAGCTCCTGCCCCGGCGGCGGCCGCCCCTCGCCCCCCTCGTCGGCCCCGCGGCAGAGGAACGAGCGCAGACACGGCGCGGGCAGAACCCGTCGTGGCTCCGCGAGGGCTCCTCGGATCGGCGCGGGAGCCCCCCCTGGGGCGCGCTCCGCGCGCCGAGCCCGACGACCACCCCTTTCGCGCTGCGCAGAAGCCGCGACCGGGAGGCTCCTCGCTCTGCTCGGCCTCGGGGGCCCCTCTGTGCCGGGCCTCGCGCCCGTCAGAGGACGCCTCGGGGCGAAGAGCCCGATCCCGGGGGAAGGGGTCCAGACCTCTGGGGGTCGACGCTGTGAAAACATAGCGACGTCGGGAGAGTCTGGGCGGCGCGCTCCGCGCGCCCCCGGGGAGGGGGGGGGGCGCCCGGGAGGAACCCGCGCGGAGCTCCCACGAGGGGGCTGCTCGAGCCGCTTCCGCTTCCTCGATGAAGGCAGCGAGCGCGGGCTCGAGCAGCGCGTAGGCGCGGCGCTTCATGCCCCACTCGCGCGCGCCTGTGGAAATCAAAGCGTACTGATACCGCTGCTCCCCGTACCTCTCACGGGGTGCGTTCTGATCAGGAGTTCGAGGCGAATCCAGCAGTGGCGACAAGGGCCTCCCAGGAGACAGAACAAGCGGAAAACGGAGGAAGGGTGGGGGTATGGGTACCTGTTCCTCCTCCTCCTCCTCCTCCTCCTCCTCACCTCCTCCTCCTCCTCCTCCTCCTCCTACTCCTACTGCTCCTCCTCCTCTTCCTCCTACCTCCTGCTCCTGCTCCTCCTCCTCCTCCTCTCCTCCTCCTCCTCCTCCTCCTGCTCCTGCTCCTCCTCCTCTCCTCCTCCTCCTCCTCTTCCTCTCCTCCTCCTCATCATCATCATCATCAATCTCATCATCACCACCACCACCACCACCACCACCACCACCCACCATCCATCACATCATCATCATCATCATCATCATCATCATCATCATCATCATCATCATCATCATCATCATCATCATCATCATCATCATCATCATCATCATCATCATCATCATCAGCATCATCATCATCATCATCATCATCCCCCCTCTCCTCCTCCTCTTCCTCCTCCTCCTCCTCTTCCTCCTCCCCCTTTTCTCCTCCTCCTCCCCCTCCTCCTCCTCCTCCTCCTCCTCCTCCTCCTCCTCCTCCTCCTCCTCCCTACGCCTCCTACCGAAGGGTAGGGGCATGGGTACTTTTCTCTCCTCTGAGCGCCAGGGGACTGTCCGAAAGGAATCTCCCGCAGGGCCCGCGCCAGGCGGTCGAACCAGGACGGCAGCTCGCCCGCCGCCGCTGGCGGATGCGGCAGCTGGTCGAGCACGTCCTGGCGGACCGGGAGCTCCCTGGCGCGCTTGGCCTCTGGCGGGCGGTCGAGGACACACTGGTACTGTGGAGAAGGGAGGAGGAGGAGGAGGAGGAGGAGGAGGAGGAGGAGGAGGAGGAGGAGGAGAAGGAGGAGGAGGAGGAGGAGGAGGAGGGAGGGAGGAGGAGGAGGAGGAGGAGGAGGAGGAGGAGGAGGAGGAGGAGGAGGAGGAGGAGGAGGGAGGAGGAGGAGGAGGGAGGAGGAGGAGGGTAGGAGGAGGTGCTGCGTGTCCCCCTCGGAGGCCTGCGCCCGGCCCGAGCGGTACGGCCAGAGAGCGCCCGCCACCACGAATACATGCTGGGCTTGCTCGGTGCGCGCGTCGCCCCCGGGGGGGGGGGGGGCCGACGAGCACGCCGTACAGGGCAGCTTTTAATACACAGGATTTTAAAAATATGGGATTTCGAATACATGATTAATTGATGAATAACTTCATGCATGATCGCATCGTTGCTGTTAATGCTAAATCCTTGCACTTTTAATACATGATCCGCACCTGGAGCATGTATTCAAACCGGCGCTGTAGTATCAAGAGGTTGGGATGCCGCCGACCTCCGGCGGGCGGTCCGGCTCGGCCACTGCCGCACGCTTGGCCGCGTGCGCCATGGCCCCGGGCAGAGGCGAGCACAGCCCTGCGATCCTGGCGCCTCGAGTTTACCGAGCCGGGCGTTCTCGCCTCTCTCTGGGCCCCGGGGCCCTCACAGATCGATCCGGCTGGGGAAAGTGAAAGACGGGGTCTAGGGCTCCAGGCGTGATTCTTCACGATGCTGCATTTATCCCGCTACGTCGGATCTCAGTGAAGGGTAGAGGAAGAAAACGATGACCGTGACCCAGACTGAGCGCAGAAGCGTCCATATCAATCTTGGTCAGCACCCTTCCAGGTCACCGTCACCTCGTGGATCATCCTCGCGAATCGGCGACGGCGGCGTTGGCCATGACCAAGACTGGCGTCGACAAGCAAGACCCCACGCCATCTCGGTCCGTGGTCATCGTGCTCCTGGGCAGAAGAGAGACCCAAACGTGCGACGTCCTGATTATTTCAATACGGGGTCCCTGGAAGTCTCGAAGCTGTCTCTGGGACCAGTTTCTCGTCCTGCGTCGCTCCTGGACGGCCCCGAGGCCCGGCGAGGCCCCCCCGAGGCTAAAAACGGGCCAAAACCCTCTGGCCCTGACTTCTTGCGACGCGATCCTGTCTGGTAGGAAGAACAAACGGAAAGAGACAGAGAGAAAGAGAGAGAGAGAGAGAGAAAAGAGAGAGAGAGAGAGAGAGAGAGATAGGCGACAGGGGGCTGGGCGGGAGGGGGAGAAGGGGGGCCTCGGGGCGCCGCTTCGGAGCGCGCGCGCGCGCGCGCGGCCGCTGCGCGGGCCTGGGCCGGGACGGACGCGGAGGAGGAGGAACAGACCACGGGGGCCCCCCATGGCCCCGAGCTCCCCTAGAGGAACAAAAAGCTGCACAAACATAAATGTTCGACGGTCGGCCCACATTTCTCGGATCTGCGCTGGACCCCCCCCCACTGGCGCGCGGAGCGCGCCAGGGGCGGCGCCGAAGACGCCGCCAGCGGGCTCCAGCGCAGATCCAAGGAATCCAGGCCGACCGTCGAAAGTCTAGGCTGTTCCCGTTCCCCCTCCTCCTCCCCCTCCTCCTCCTCCTCCTCCTCCTCCTCCTCCTCCTCCTCCTCCTCCTCCTCCACCGTCGAAAGCTTCTGTTTATGCCGCTGTTTGATTTTCGATCCCTGCCGAGGCTTGCGCGAGCGCCGTCTCCTGGTTCGACAGAACGGGCCAAGGCATGCTGGACGCAGCTTCGGAGGCCCGACGCGGCCGTCCAGGGAGCACGGAGGGCCCGGCGCGGCGCCCCGCGAGGAGGGACAGGGAGGAGGAGGAGGAGGTGGAGGAG